CCAAACACTGAAAAACCTATGAGAGACACATGACGTGAAACCATCGCGAAACCATCTACAACATAATATCGTTAAAACTCAAATTATCACCAAGGGAAAATAATTAAAAATACAATAAAAAATACCATTTCACACATTACCTTCTGCCACATATCTTGTTTTAACATTTGAACTTCATCAGCAAGGAGTTTTTGATGCGTGATGGTGTATTCGTTTGCATGCTGTTCTTCTTCTTTTTGGGGCATCACTTTGAAACATCCCTTTACTTGGCATCTCACCATTCTGTTTTTACATTTCATGAGATGGAGGTGGAAATGAGACCTGAAAATTAATAGAAATGAAGCATAAATGGTAGATGCAAGTTCGGTCAGTTTCGCACCACTGTAGGTGGAAACCTGTATTTTTCTCCCGGTATCTAAAGGATCGTAAAGCCTTTTTGATTAACCTGCTGCACTATTTTTACAGTTTAGTGAATTATTGAAGTAAATTAAGAAAGTTATGTTTCCGGGATCGAAATTATCGGAACTGATCGTTCAACTCCCAATGCAATATCATACAAATTTCATAGAATAGGGGTTTTGGATGGCATGGCGTCTTATCTAGATTTTCAATCAGACAATTTTGGTTCCAACAAACAATATTACATACGATAGATATGGAATAGCCTACAGAGGAGGTTTAATTTTTATGTAACCTATTACATAAAGTATTTCAGTCAGCATTATTATTCTCCCCTCGTATTCCGTTTCCAATTCAGTTTTCATACCTGGGAATGAGCGCTCCACACTCATAGGGACAACCACGTGGCTTCTCATCACATTGCTGTTCATGCTCCTCCAAGTCCCTTCTACTTATCTCCTCCCTACAGAATTGACATTTTTCTTTCTTGCTTGGGCAAGACTTTGCATGTTCTTCCATAATAGATCGTATCCCACTAAACCCGCATCCGTCGTAGCATGTAACTTGATGGTAGGAGCAGCTGGTGATATGGTCTTGTTTTTGACGATTTTCTCCTTTCCAACTGCATCCTTCATTAGTACATTTGATTTGTATTTTATTCAATAGAATATTTAATGCTACATTGACATTGAGGCCTTCRTCAGCGGTTCCAATTTCTTTCCTGCACGAAGGGCACTTTACCGGAGGCCGGCTTTTTTGGTACAGATTTTCTAGGCATGTCTTGCAGACTGTATGGCCGCAGGACAAGGAAACTGGTCTGTACATAAGGTCTTGGCTAGTTAAAAAATAAAAGAAAGTAAGATTGGAGTTCCTTAAATTTTATATTTAGTTGTCGAAAACATTGAATGTGGTTTAGTATCGTTTAAACTGAAATACATTTATGAGAAATATTCTTACAATAGTATTTTGTTGTCGTCGTCGTCGTTGT